GAGAGCTAACGTTTACTGGGCATTTCCTCAGCGTAAGTGCCTAACAGGCGAGTTTCAACTTTAATTTACCTGAAGAGGGCAGGTCCTGCTGCCATTCTCGTTCTAAGTCAGCAGAGATGAGTGGTGGCACATGCCATTAATCCCAGCACTTGGGAGGCAGAGGCAGGCGGATTTCTGAGTTCGAGAATTCGAGGCCAGCCTGGTCTACAGAGTGAGTTCCAGGACAGCCAGGGCTACACAGAGAAACCCTGTCTTGAAAAACCAAAAACAAACAAGTCAGCAGAGATGATGCTGCATAGTAAAGCCCTTCAGGCGTAAGCTCTGGGCTGCTTGACTCCCAAGTCCTCCTCAGCCCCTTGGCCACATGAAGGTGGTGCAGAATAGAGCCGCCTTTATGGCACTCACGAAGCCACCGTCTGTCTTGGTGTGGGGCTGTCTCTGGCGGGAAGTGTGCTCTGGAAGCTAGCTGAGGCCGAGGGAACCTTAGGAAGAGGGAAGTGGATGGCTATGTGGTGACTGGAGAACTGGGCCAGGTCCTGGGCAGTGGGTGCTCTGGCACAGGAAGAACTCGGGGCGGGAGTGGGTGGGAGTAGGTGGGGGTCGGTCAACCTTGGTGGAGTTGAGCTGCAGAACTGAGAGGCATCTGGAGAGAGTCCTCAGGTCCCAGAGGATTGGAGAGTCCCTGGTTTGGAGTAGAAGATGAGATTGGAAGTCCAGAGTCTCAGATGTAAGCTAGGGAAGGTGTCAGGGTCAGGGTGAGCCAAGCAGCCACTGCCTGTTGGCTCGGTGTTGGGTGGTAGTGTCTATGTGCTCTGATTTTTTTAGTTTTAATAGTATGTGGGATTGAACCAGAGGTCTGTCCGTGCTGTGTGAGTGCTAGACCAACTGAGCTAGCTAGATCTGTTTTTGAGACAGAGCTGTACTAAGTTGCCCAGGCTGTCCTTGAACTCAAAATCCTCTTGCCTTAGCCTTCCGAGTGGCTGAGATTACAGACTACCACCACCAGGCCTAGCTTCAGCAAATTTTACAAGAGATGCTGAGGATTGGCTTTATGACGGAAATAATTGGCCTTTCCGTGTCTCCAATAGTCAGAGAACCTCTAAAAAGCAGGTTGAAGTAATAAACACATTGGTGGCCCTGGACCCATAGACCTGCAGCTCCCATATCAGGGCAGGGCCGGGGGTGAAGAAACACCCCCATCTTCTGCCCCCCAACAGGCCTTGGAGCCTTGAGTTTGGGACATGAAACTACTTTATTAGCAGAAATAGAGGTGAGGGTACTGGAAGAGGGGGAGGCAGGGGATTGGATGTATTGAAACTCTCCCTTTTTCCTTAAGAACCGAGAACTGCAGATTATGCGTAAGCTGGACCACTGCAATATCGTGAGGCTGCGGTACTTTTTCTACTCCAGTGGGGAGAAGGTGAGACATTGGGAGCCCGAGGTGTGTAGCCCTCCACACTGTGATGCATCCACTTTCCTGCTGGCCTTCCCCAGGTCCTCTGTGTCCCTCCCTGTCCCTGCACACTCTCCCTCTTCCTTCTGATGCCTCACAGCTCTCCTTTGTTCTCCAGAAAGATGAGCTGTATTTAAATCTGGTGCTGGAATATGTGCCCGAGACGGTGTACCGAGTGGCCCGTCACTTTACCAAGGCCAAGCTGATCATCCCTATCATCTATGTCAAGGTAGGCGGGCGGGCTGCTGGAGCCCAGGCTCACGGAGGGGGGCTTTGGGCCCAGTCAGTCTTTGGAGGCTTATGTTCCCTAGCCTCAGCTCTGCAGCTGCAAATGGGTTTGGCTAAGCCCAGAGGAGAGTCAAGGTGAAGGGGGTGGGAAAGGAACTGCTCCACATAGTAGGACCAGTGTCACAGGGGTCGAGGTAGGTGGGAGGGAAACCATAAAGTGGCAGTAAAACTGTACCAGAGGAGCCAGCAGACCTCTCCCCCCACACCCCCTCTTGGCCGTCCCTCTGTGGCTTTACACCTTGCTCCTGGGTGGGCTGACACTGATGTAGGCTGCACCTGTGGTTGCCACCGCTGCTTACATGTTGAGAAGGGAGTTCTCCAGTCGTGAGAGCCATGCTGTGGCTGCGACTCTGCCCAGCCAAGTGCAGAAGAGTTCCAGAGACACAGCTGAGACCCAGACCTGGCCTTTGAAGAACTTTTTGGCTGGGCATGGTGGCACACACCTTTTGTCCCAGCACTCAGGTCGTAGAGGCAAGAGGATCTCTTGAGTTCAAGGCCATCTTGGTCTACATAGTAAGCTCCAGGACTACAGAGAGACCCTGTCTTTGAGACAAAAGCTCCAGAGAGCCGTGTTTGGTGGGGTTACAGGCACCATCAGAGAAACAGTGAACCGAGGAGCTGCTGCTGTGGAGAGCCACAGGGAGTGCTGGGAACTGAAAGCCCTACCTGGCTGGCCTGGGGGAGGAGGAGGAAGGAATGCTGGGAGAGTGGTGTCATTTAGGCACAGGAGGAGGGTCCCAGAAGCAGTTAGCGTATATATACGTCAGGTACTGGCTTAGGCCCAGGAGACTCAGAAGCTTCAAACTCCAAGGTCCTGGCTACACGTAGTGGTGCATGTTTGTAATCCCAGCACTAGGGAGGCTAATGCAGGAGGATTTCAAGTTCAGGGCCAGCTTGGAGTCCAGTCTTGTCACCCTGTTTTGAAAGAAAAAACCTAAAAAGGTTCCATGGGTAAAGGAGTCTGCTGCTAAGCCTGAGGACTGATTCCTGGGACAGAGGGTGAGCCTGCACCAGCATGCTGTCCTGATTGCCACTTGTGGGCTGTGGCACATGTGTAACCCTTTCCCTCCAGAGGCAGTCATGTACACACAACCAAGATGGTATACAAATTAAAAACAAATTAAAACTGAAAACCTTGCTTAGGTTCTGGACAGTGGGAAGGCAGGAAATGAAGCTGGAGAAGGCCTGTGCAAAGGGGCTGCTGTCAGCGAGGGCGGGTGGGGCTGAGGCCCTCTAGAGCTGGTGGTTTTACTGAGGGGAAGCAGAGTGCCTGCACCACAGCCTGTGTTACAGGGTCAGTCATCATAGGGGTGACTGGAGCAGCAGTTCCTCATGTGGGGGCCAGGCCCAGTGTCAGCCATCCTCAGGCTTCAGAAACTGGGCCCTGGCCTGTCTCCTGAGTCTTCCATGTGACTGCAGCAGGCATTCAAGTTCAGAATCCAAGGTTTACAGCAGTTCAGGAGCTGAGGCCATGGGGCAGCCAGCAGGGCCAACAGTGTGCTCTGTGGTAAGCAGTGGGCTGGAGTTGAGCTGTGCCCTGCCCATCCTAGGTGTACATGTACCAGCTCTTCCGGAGCTTGGCCTACATCCACTCCCAAGGTGTGTGTCACCGTGACATCAAGCCCCAGAATCTGCTTGTGGACCCTGACACTGCTGTCCTCAAGCTCTGCGATTTTGGCAGGTATGTCCGACCTGCAGCCGTGAGTGCCGAAGGGGTGAAAACCTTGAGCGAGCTTGCTTTCATGCTTAACTCTGCCCATCTCTTCCCACAGTGCAAAGCAGTTGGTTCGGGGGGAGCCTAATGTGTCCTACATCTGTTCCCGGTACTACCGCGCCCCAGAGCTCATCTTTGGAGCCACAGATTACACCTCATCCATCGGTCAGTTAGGGGAGGAGCCGGGGAGTGACAGGGAGTGATTAGGGCCTACTGTATGGCCTATACTGGTGCTTCCAGGCTGAGGAGGCTGCTGCATCTTGTTAGAGCAGCTAACCAATAGAGAGCTGTTGCTAGCACCTTCCAGGGGTGCATCAGCCGGCCATGACAGGGTGGGCTTTCAAGTCTGACTTGACTCCAGAGTCCTCCTTCACTTAGAACCTTCAAGTCGGCCTCTGTTCTCAGTTGGAGGGTAGGGGCTGGCAGTGACCAGACTGTTACCATAAAGGTATGGCCTGCTCCTAGGGCCTGTCTTTTTCTGTCTCTGAGCACGGCATCACCCTCTTCCAGGCTTGAGGGGAAGGCTGACATGAGAGCATGTATGTGAAAGGAAGGGTTGAAGGAGCATGGCAGTTTGAGGAGCTGCTGAGGCCCTCAGTGTGACCTTGTGCCAGTGCAGGTCCCGGTACAGGGCAGGGAGGGGTGAGCAGGCCAGATGCCAGGTGGTGAACAGCTAGTTCAGGATGGAAACTTTTCTTGTGGCCCAGAGCACACAGGTGCCAGTGGGCCTAGTCAGGCCTTGTGCTAGTCTAGAGAAGGAAGGAAGGGTTCAAAGGAACCATTGGGATCCCTCACCAAGGGTACCAGGGCCATAAGCACACCTGCACTGGAGAGCACAGCCTGAGAGAGTGCTTCTGCAGTGCCTCTGGGATAGCCATGAGGAGCAGTGTTGGCAAAGGAGTTGGCTTGGTGGCTTCGGCTGTCTAGTGCTTACCTCTGCCCTTCCCTTCAGATGTGTGGTCAGCTGGCTGTGTACTGGCCGAGCTACTTCTCGGCCAGCCCATCTTCCCTGGGGACAGTGGGGTGGACCAGCTTGTGGAGATCATCAAGGTGAGGATGGGGCGGAGCCAGAGCCAGGGAAAGCAGGGGTGGGCCTGAGGAAAGGGCTTGGGCTCACACCCTCACTTTCCTTCACAGGTACTAGGAACGCCCACTAGGGAACAGATCCGAGAGATGAACCCCAACTATACAGAGTTCAAGTTCCCCCAGATCAAAGCTCACCCCTGGACAAAGGTAGGGACAGAAATATGGACTTGCGCAGCATGTCTGAAGGGTGGGTTCCCTTGGAGACCAACTGCTCTGGGGACCTGAGAGATGGCTGCGTGGTTAAGAGCACAGGTCACTCTTACACAGGATCTGGGGTCAATTTCCAGCACTCCCATGGCAGCTCACAGGCACCTCTAAGTCCAGTTCCAGGGGGTCCGTACAGGCATGCGTGTGGCTAACACAGATGTGCACAGGCTAACATTCACATGAGTAAACAGACCGAAAAAGTGAAAAGAAGAATCGGTGGGGTAGTCTCTGAAGTTATCCAGGGAGGCAGTCAACACTTTGAGGTTGTGATGTTTATAGAATTTTAAAAGTTGAGAACTCAGGTAAATACAAGATTCCCATTCATATGGTGGCAACTACGCACCAGGATTCACAAGTCATGGACCCCGAGCCAGCGCCCATCTCATGTGTCTGTCTCCTTACTGGGGAGGTGGGGTTTGGAGAGCAGGCTGCCACAGAAGGGCACACGACACGGGTGTCACAGCACCTCTTACCCGCTGAATTAACCCACAGGTATTCAAATCTCGGACGCCACCTGAGGCCATTGCACTCTGCTCTAGCCTGCTGGAGTACACGCCGTCCTCAAGGCTCTCCCCACTGGAGGCCTGTGCCCACAGCTTCTTTGATGAACTACGGATTCTCGGAACCCAGCTCCCCAACAACCGCCCGCTTCCCCCCCTCTTCAACTTCAGTCCTGGTGGTGAGCATAGCCTGGGGTCAGTGGAGACGCTCGGGATGACGTGGAGGTTTGGTGCTGGAACAGGACTGGGAGGCTGAGAGGGTCCGAGGTAGCCCTGGCTCAGCAGCTGTCTCCACACTGTAGCTGGATGCTAGGCCTTTCCCACTTTTCCACCTAAGAGTCCTGTGGCTGAAGTCTCTTCCACCTGGCCTTGCCAGGAACTGGGGTCCTTGTTTGGTCCCCATCCTAACCCTGACCGGCCATGTTAATTCCTGTCTCTAGAACTGTCCATCCAACCGTCTCTCAATGCCATTCTCATCCCTCCTCACTTGAGGTCCCCAGCAGGCCCTGCTGCCCTCACCTCATCCTCACAAGGTAAGCTGGGGAACACTGTGCCAAGGGTCAAGTGAGGGTTGTTGTTGGCTTTTAACATTTCCTGTGGGTTTGGAGTTGTTGACATCCGATGGCACAGAAGGCATATTTTACAGTATGTCAGCAACCAGCTTTGTAGGGCAGTGTTGCCCACATTTGTGTTTAAATGCTAACTGGAAGACCAAACATTTTTTGGTCTGAACAAATAAACAAAAAGTTACCCACATTTGAAGATTGGGCCATTCTGGGTAAGAACCTGATGTCCTGTTTTTAAGGGGGAAGAAGGTCAGGCCCGGCAACCATGAGCCTGCCTCTCCTGACTGCAGCCGCTCCCCTTTTCTTCCATGGAGCCTGGCTCCTTGGTGTGAGCCACTTTAGTGTCATGTTGGCCCTTTGGCATCTGAGTTTGTAACCCTGAACCCAGAGTGACAGCTGTCAGCTTCTTGAATAGTGTTTTGAAGCAAGCTGTTCTCTTGTGGGCGTGGGGCACGATGCAAAGGCCAACTGCCCCTCCCTCTCCTTCCTTCAGCTTTAACTGAGAATCAGACTGGCCAAGACTGGCAGGCACCCGATGCCACACCTACCCTCACTAACTCTTCCTGAGGGCCCCAACGACTACCCCTCCACGTCCATCTGGGAAGGCCCAAGTGGGGCTGGGAAGGGGGCCACAGCCCATCAAGCTCCTGCCCTGGCTGGGCCCCTAGACTAGAGGGCAGAGGTAAATGAACTACCCCAGCATCTAGGCCTCCCTCACCAGCCTCACCTTTGTGGTGGGCTTTTTAAAGAGGATTTTAACTGTTTGTGGGGGAGGGAAGAGAAGGAAGGACGGGGTTTGGGGGTATGAGGACCTCCTACCCCCTTGGTCTCCTCCCCTCCCCCAGGCTACCACTCCCCCTACCCCATGTCCCTTGTAAATAGAACCAGCCCAGCCCATCTCCTTTTCCCTTCCCTGGCCCCCTGGGTGTAAATAGATTGTTATAATTTTTTTCTTAAAGAAAACGTCGATTCACACCATCCAACCTGCCCTCCCCTCAGCTGTACCCCCCTCTTGTCCTCTGCTCCCAAGGCTTTCCTCCCCCTCCCCATCCTGGAAGGAGGGGGGTAGGGAGAGCCCCTGGTGTCTTAGTTTCCACAGTAAGGTTTGCCTGTGTACAGACCTCCGTTCAATAAATTATTGGCATGAAACCCTTCTTCCTGTCTGGCTGCCTGTTTGCACAGAATGAGGGGTTCAGGGTTTGGAATGAGTTCCACTTCAGGCAGAGGGACACTGAGAAGCCAGAACCCCCCGTACCACTTAATGCTTGCCCGCCACAAACGTGGAACTTGCCCCTTTCCTGGCACAAACTCTGTTAATGAAGGGAAGGATGGACATCCCGGGTGGTCAGTGAGACCCTGGATGATGAGTCTCTCAGACCAAATGTCTAATTGCCTGCAGGCCCCGTGAGAGGAGTATGGATGTGGGACAGGCAGGTTCCCAGGGCACAGGGTGTCTGTCCTGTCTGAAGCACGGCACCCACTCGCTTCACTTCTCTTAGGGGTGTTTGGAAGGCGGAGGTCGGTCTCTCTCTCTCTCTCTGTCTCTCTCTGAGCTGGTTTTGAGCTAGTCTTCCAGTACAGCTCAGGGTTGCCTGGAACTCAAGATCATCTTGCCTTAGAATCCCAAACACTGCGATTACAGGCTTGTGCCACTCTGCCTGGCTCTTTCCCTTGACTTTTAAAATATGCTGGAGCCAGATGGTGGGGACCATGGGCAGAAGGGAATGGCATCGCTCCATGTGCCAAGCATGAGTGGGTAGGGTGCTGCAGAAGGAAGAGGACCTGGGAGGGAGCAGCTCTGGGCCCTTCTGATGGATTCTACCGATGCAGAAAAAGTAATTTTGGAACAGATCCTTGAGGGGAGTCCAAGACTGTGGGCCCTGCTAGATGCTTACATCAGCGCCAGGGGTACATTCCTGCTCTGCAGGGCTGATCTCATCCTCCTTTCAAACCGGTCACGAACCAGGATGAGCATGGCTGCCCTGGGTCAAGGGATGGTCCGAGTATTGGCTGTGGTCACTGAGGGGTCAGGTCTTACTCAGAATAGAGATGGGCCTAAGAGCTGTATTCCCATCTCACAGTCCCTCCCCTCAGCCTGAGACCCTGGGCATTCTCAGTGCTGTCCCTACTTGTACAGCCAGGACAGTACACAGGACCATCTCAGGCCTGAGGGACATTACGTGTTCTGCCTGATACTGTGTACTGCAGTTGTAACTGGATGGCCTGCCTGAGAGGTTAGTTTCCTCTTGTGCTGCCAGATTCCTACTTTTACTTCAAGAACTGTTGCCACTAGGAAGTCTCTTCCCAGTTCCACTGTCCCTGCACATCCCCACCTCAGCCCAGGAATCCTTAGACCTGACTGCATTAGCCTGCAGCACCACGGTGTGTGAGGGAAGCCCTGGGCACACAGGCTGAGCGAGGCACAGGCAGCACTGTCTGGATAACTGGCTGTACTTGAGTCAGTTGCCTCTGCTGGGCTGAGCATGCCTCAGTGCAGAGCTGTGACTGGTTCATTCCTGGGTCTTCAATGTCACCCAGGCTGAGCTGAGTACTGCGGTCACCTACAGATTTCTTTTCCCACTGTCAAAACTGAAATGAAGCAAGCCCCGTGAAACTAAGTGCCTTCCTATACCAGGTAGAGCTAAGTCCCAAACACCCCAAGTCCTGGGATGGTGGGGGTTGGGGTGGGGAGTTAGAAGCAGAAGATCTTTAGAGGTACATGGGAATGTCTGGCACAGGCCTGGCATGTGGTTGGTGCTCAATAAAGGTTACCTGATGTTGCTGAGCACCAGATGCTGCCGTACAAAGAGCCTTGGCAAACCCCACTCTGCAACACAGTGGTAGGGGCTGAGACAGACGACATCACTGTCAGAGCTTCAGTTTCACCTTGGGCAGGGAAAGGTGACAGGAGAAACCCTGAGGAGTCAGCAGTTAGAAGAGGCCAGCAGGGTGGACCCTGACATGTGGGTGCCAGACCAGCTTGCCAGGAGGGGTCCTCTGCTCCCCTGAGGTGCCTAGACCCGAGCTTGTAAGCAAACCCTCTTTAGCACTGCTCTTGTGCCTCGTCACACGAAGGCCGTGTCCAACTGCAGCAGTCCGCTGGCTTCGCTGGCCCCCAGTGCCGCCTGGCAGAGCTGCAGCGTGTCCTCCAGTGCCAGTGGCTGGGAGGTCTCAATGATGGCGATGGTCTCCCCCAGCTCTGTGCACATGATAGTCTGCTGGGGTTCAGGGGCTGGGGGTGGGACTGGAGACGGTGACCTGGGAGGCTGTAGTGTCAAACTCCTGGCTCGGGCATGGACCCTCTGATGCAGCCGAAGGCCTGCCATGGCGCGGAACCAGCGGCCGCAGGTCCCACAGTAGTAGGGGCTCTTGTTGTAGAGACCAGTGATGGGAAGGCGAGGGGCGCGTGCAAAGGCCACAGGCCGAAGGTGTAGCCGCCGGTGCTGCTGCAGGTTGGAGCTCTGTGTAAAGCGCTTGCCACAGTCCAGGCATTGGTAGGGGCGCACTCCTGTGTGGGTCAGCTGGTGGCGGCTGAGGTTGGCTAGAGAAGCAAAGGTCTTGCCGCAGGAGTGACACTGGAAGGGCCTCTCGCCCGTGTGTGTCCGCAGGTGGTTGCGCACATGAACGAGCTTCTTGAAGCCCTTGCCACAGACCCCACACCTGTGCCGGCGTTCAGGGGGGCCGTGCACTGCGCGCCGGTGCCTGGAGAGCCTGGAGGCTGAAGCAAAGGACTTGGGGCACTGTGGGCAGGGCAGCTGGGCGGGTGGGGGTGGGGGCGGGGGGGTGGGCTCAGCTGGAGCTGGGGAGACAGTGGCCACCCTGGTGGGGGTTCCGCTTTTCCCTGTGTGAGTTCGTCGGTGATAGAGGAACTTGGTCATGTTGCTGAAGGTCTTGCCACAGCGACAGCGGTGCAGTGGGTTGGCAGTATGGGCCCGCCGATGGGCCACCAGTGTGAGCTCGGTGCCAAAGCCACGGCCACAGTCCACACAGAGATAGCGGGCTTCCCCACGGTGCAGCCGCTGGTGCTGCTCCAGAGAGGCCGCCTTCTTGAAGACCTTGGAGCAGGTGGTACACTCATGGGTCCCGCCCACGTGGGCCCGGCTGTGGGCTACCAGCCGGTTAGCTGAGCTGAAGCTGCGCTGACACTGGCTGCAGTGGAAGGCGTGCGTGGCTGATGCTGGGCCACGAGATGCCCTTCGGTGTTTGCGGTGTGCCCCTGAAGAGGTACAGTGCTGGGAACAGTCCCCACAGCTCTGAGCCGGGTCAGCCGTGGACTTGTCACCTCCTGTGTCATCAGCAGTGAGCTCTGTGGATGCTTCGTCCTCATCGGTCTCTTCATCATCATCTTCCTCCTCGCCCTCCTCTTCCTCCTCCTCCTCCTCCTCCTCCTCCTCTTCCTCCTCTTCTTCTAACCCATTGCGCTCTTCTTTCTCCAGGGAGTCAAAGTGGGTGCCCTGATGCTCCAAGAACTCCTCAGGGGTGGCACAAAGGGTGGAACACTCTGGGCACTCGTAGGGCTCCATCTTGACTTCCGGTGGTGGAGGTGGGGGTGTCGGGGGAGGCAAAGGAGGTGGTGGCTCATCTGCTGCACTGGAAAGGTGCTGAGTCTTGCGATGAGCTACCCACAGCTCAGGTGACGGGAAGAGCTCCTGGCAGTCTCCACACTGGTACTGGATCTGGCTTGCAGACTCCTGCAGGTGGGCATCCTGGTGGGCTAGGAGCTCGCCGGGAGAGAGGATGAGCTGGCTACATTCACCACACTGGAAAGGTCCCTCCCCGGTGCTAGGCACTAGCTCGGGCTCCAGGCCTGTGTCCTGGGTGGTCAGCGTCTCCTCCTCTGACATGGGGAGCAGGTGTTGTTCCTGGTGGGAGAGGACCTCCTCCAGGGTGTTGTAGAGGCTGCCACACTCCGAGCACATGAACTGGTGGTGTTGGAAGAAGAGGGATGAGGCAAGGGCCTCCCCAGAGGTCATCTCAGTCACTGCTGTTGCCATCTCCGCCAGCTCTCCTGACACGGCGGTTGAAATTTCCACCGCTCCTGGTGCTTGTGTTGGTATCTCAGCCGCCTCGGCCACCATCTCTGCCATTATGGGGAAGGCAGCGCCTGGAGAAAGAAGGGCAGAAGCCAGTGGCACACCAGGAACCCGAGGGGAGTGTGGGATGTCTCAGGGGTTCCCTAGCTCATTCCATTACTCACCAGTCTGTCAGTCAAGCTGTAGTTAAACGTTTATGCCTCAGCCTTTCATGGTCCCATGTTTCTGAGCCTGTCGTAGCCACTTTAGTCAGGTCTCTGCAACAGAGTTTGGACACCCTGCAGCCTGGCCTCAAGTTCTGCTCTCTCTCAGAAGCCCAGTGACACCCTTTCTAAGAACATGTGTGCGCATACACACACACCTGCACACATATTCTCTCTCTCTCTCTCCCTCCCTCCCTCCCTTCAGCCTTTACCCAAGCAGGTTCCTCTCTGGACAACCAACACCTTTCCTCCTCTCCTGTATTCCCACAGCAAAGCATTTAAGGGAACAGAGGGAACGAGACTTCCCTCAGCTGGAATCTGAGCTTCCCCACTTTACCTTCTCTCTCTCGAGATCAGTTTTCTCATGTGTATAATGGAACTAAAGTCAGACTGACCACGAAGCCTATGGCACTTGGTTAACAAACACCGATATTTGGGTTTGTACGCAACCTAGGATGGCCTCAAACTCACTATGTAATAGAACGTAGCTTTAGAGCGATCCTGCCTCGGCTTCCCCAGCAGTGGGATTCTGGGTGTGCACTACCACACTTAGCACCTGGGATACAGACCTCTCCAACCTACCAGGCTGTGTCCTAGGCTGTCTGGTCTCAACCTGATCCAACCCCTTTCACACAACAGGAGCCTACAGTCCCATTCCAAGAACCCTCCTTAAGCCGCCTGCTCCAAGCCCTACGTTTTAAGGAGATTTTATGTTTTACTTTATTATACCTTTTTAATGGGGTTGCGGATGGGAAGCGTGTGTATAGAGGTAAGATAACAACTTGCAGGATCAGGTTATCCCACCATGGGGGTTCTGGGATCAAGCTCAGGTTATCAGGCTCGGTGCCAATTGCCTTTTACTCACTGAGCTACCTTAAAGCGCTACCCCTCCCCCCCAACTTTTTTTTTCTTTTTCTTTTTTTTTTTTCTTTTTTGGTTTTTTGAGACAGGGTTTCTCTGTGTAGCCCTGGCTGTCCTGGAACTCACTCTGTAGACCAGGCTGGCCTCGAACTCTTGAACTCAGAAATCCGTCCGCCTGCCTCTGCCTCCCAAGTGCTGGGATTAAAGGCGTGTGCCACCACCGCCCGGCAACATTTTTTTTTCTTATGTTACTGTGTGCCTGCATGCATGAGTATAAGTCACTGCATATATGTAGCATACATGGAGTTCAGATGAAGCTCACTCTTTCCTCCCGTATCTATGTGGGGGTCTGAGGATTGAACTGGCGTCATCAGGACTGCATGGGACACACCTTTACCTTCTGGGCCAGCAAGATGGCCCGTTTTTTTGTCATTATTGTTTGAGACAGATTTTTCTCTGTGTAGCCCTGGCTGTCCTGGAACGCAGATCTGTAGATCTGGCTGGCCTTGAACTCCCTCTGCCTCCCCAGTGCTGGGGTTAAAGTTGTACACCACCACTGCCCTGCTGTTTTTGTTTTGGGGACAGAGTTTATGTACAAAGGCTGGCCTTGATCTCAAGAAGTACACAGGAAGGTCTGGTTCTGAGTCTTGTTTCCTCTGCTTCTCAAGTGCCAAAGGCCACCTTCTTTCCCTCTTTACTTCTGCTCGAGCCAGGAGTGTGTAGACTTTAGTTGGTAGCCCTGGTGTACAAGCTGCTCCTAGAGGGCAGAAATTTTAGCCTCTTCACCACAGAGGTGTTTCTAGTGCCAAGAAAGATGCCCAGCACACAGTAGATACACAGACTCATCCAGTGACTAAGGGTCCCTATAAAAGTGATGTCCTTAACCATCCCCGTGCACACTACATGTCTACCCATTCTATGCATTTCCACAACACACAGCCCAATACAAGGCCCTGTTTTTAGTTGGTGACCAATAAACCATCCACGGATGAATGACTTGCTAAATGCTCAGGACCCAAACTTTCCTTATCTACCAATTCCAAATATCCCATTAAGTGGGGTTCGTTTGGAAGCACCTCATTATTAGGCACCTCATTATAGGCTCTGGCCTATCTAGAACTGTGTAAGGCAGCCTGGCCTCAAACTCACAGAAATCTAACGGCTTCTACCTTCCCAGTGCTGGCAATTGAAAGCATGTGCCACTACACCAGGTTCCTCATCAAGTCTGAACCATTCCATCACGGATTTTCCTAGAAACAATCAAATGGGCTGGGGTTGGGGGAGGTTAGCATTTTGCCTTGTTTACAGCCCCACTGACAGGACAGAACTTCTCCCGCTTGGATCAGAACCTGCTACATGGCTTGTAGCAGGTGACGAGCAGAGGCACAAACTTTACAAAGTATAGCTGAGCTCACACACAGAAAAACACGGTGTATGGGACCCAATCCACCATGTGTTCACTGAATCTCATCCAACATAATCCTTCCCAAACTCATTAAACATGCGCACAATCGTAATAACACTGTCTTTCTAGAAAGTAGCACTGGTATCCCGAAATGGGCACTTTTGCAACTGCGTTCCTTCCCTCTCCCCCCACCCCCCGCCCCCAATCCTACACCACGTCAGGGGGTAGGTGGAATTCCGCTAATACCTCTGTATACAGAAAGTAGATCTATCTAAGCACCTCCACCAGGGGCCTGAAAGTTCAACTTTCCCGCTACACTGCTTTTTTTTTTCCTACCAGATTCCTCTGCTCTGCAGCCTGAGAGCCCCCTCCAGGGGTGGGGTGTGCAAGCGAGCTCAAGCTGAGTCCAGCACACAGCAGGGGCTCCACCGACGCCTCTAGGGCACACAGGAAGGAACTGTCGATCATCCCGGCCGACCCAAGCGCAGGCCCCAAGGCTCTCCGACCCTTAGCGTACCCTTCCCTTTTCCTCCACTCTCTCCCTACACCCAGCGCTCTCTCCCCTGCCCGCCCTGCGGCGCCCTCACCCATCTCTCTTACCTCCAAGCAGCCCCTGCCGCTCTTGACACAGACCCTCCACTCCAGGAGTGTGGGACCCTTCACTATCCACGCCTCCTATTGGGCGGTGCTCTCAGTCGAGGCAGCCAATCAGAGCTGAGAGCGCGGGGCACGCGCCCTCGCGCCTGCGTATTGAGAGTCAGGCGGGGCTCCTCGAGTTTCTCCACGCACACACTAGTGCCCTGTAGGCGGTGTCCGGGGCCGGGAGAGGCGCCTGCGCAGTTCTCCGGGGCTGCTCCTTTCCTGCTGTTTGAAAATTCAGCGGAGAAAAGTGTGCATCCCGGTAGCGCGAGGTCACATAAATGAACTTGGCGGCGCGAGACTTTGACAGTGTTGTCTGGTGGCGGAAGAGACTGAGCGTCTCTGACAGCGTAACTAAAAAGCCAGACACGCTTGTACTTTTCCTGGGCCGCCTCAAGTTTTTGCTTACATGCAAAATGGGCTGGAATCACATCCTCCTGAAAGGTTGCTGAAGGCATTGGATTTTATCAGACGTGTAAAAAATGTTCGGCTCGGGGCCTGATACACCGTAGTCCTCACTCTAACCCATCCAACATAGAAGCTTTCCCGTTTATAAATGGCTTTCCCTTCCTTTTATTCTTTGTCTGATTTAATGATATTCACACAGAGGGCCCATACCGTGGACTCCACTGCCGTCTGTCTCACAGGTGGAAAAGCTAAGGGAAACAAACAGCCAGTATTTAGCCAGAGCCTCCTGCACAGGTCTCCCGCCCCTGAGGGAGACAATTCTGGGGGTGGAAACCAGTCCTAGAAGAGATCTGTCTAAGGCACGTGCCGGCCCTGACCTTGAGTCACCTAAGTGGGAAGGAGGAGCGGCCGTCACGCTCAAGGCCCCGTGCAGGGGGCATGAAGACACCTTAGTCTTTACTTCTGTGACCGGATCGCTCTCATAGGTGCAGGTTAGGGGAGCATCTGGGTGGCTCCGAGACTCAAGAGGGCACAGACGCGATTGTAGAAAGGCTGTTCTAACCCTGGGTCTGGGTGATTATGATTGGAGGTGCTGATGGACGTCTTCGGAATGTGCCCACAGGGACCGCGAGGTCTATTGCGATTCGGGATCATTTTGCTGCTTGCTACTGGAGAATTTATAAATTGGGGCTGGGGAGCTGTATGAGGAAGAATTTCCATATAGGATCCGAGACAGCAGAGTTGAGTTGTAAGTTCCTGGTTGTCACCTAAGAATGGGACATACTGTATTACAAGTCCTGATTATGAGCCTTGAGCGCTCCTGGGAGTCGGGACCCTCGTGACTGGTTTACTTTGCGCTGGCAGCTGGTGGCACTGGCCATGTGGGTGTTTAGGTCGTGATCGGGGGAAGATGCAGTCTGTGAGATGAATATTTCCACCAGGTCGTGCCGTAGGATTCAGGGGACACACACTGAGTCTTCCACCACCATCCAAGAGCAATACCCAGCGAGGCTTTGGCCCAGCGCAAGCGCAGTACGGGCGAGTCCGGACGCTTGGGTTAGGGGCGGATCAGGAGTCCTGGAAGGGGTGGAGCTTGGAGATCTCATTCTGCGCTTGCGCTGTAGGGGCGTGGCGGTCGCACCTGCGCGAGTTGGGCAAAAGAGGAGGAGCGAGGTGACGCAGGCGTAATAATAGAGAAGGTGCCAGAAAGATCCAAAACAAGTGGCTGCGGCCGTCGCCCAGAAGTCATCGGACGCTGGAATCTGGTGAGGATCAGAGAGGCCTAAAGGCGACTGGTGGAGGGTAGCTGGAACCACTTGGGTGCTGGGGTGAGGGCAGGACCGATCGCCCTTCCAGGGAGAGGGGTCGGGTTCAGACAGTACCACCTGTGTGGCGCTCAGGGTTGTTTTGGTCGGTCCTGCTTGCAGGGGTCCGAGGGTCACTTTTGAAAGGTGGGATGTTGGAGCTAGCTGGAAGGCACTAGTGGACAGAATCCAAGGGCTACGTCCGGACGTTTGCCATCCAGAGTCACCGATCAGTGGACAAGGTGCCCTGCAATGGGCCATGTACTCATTCGAGCTGATCGCCTAGGTCAATCGGTGGCAAGTTCGGAACGTACCACCCAGAGAGAGGGGCATCTGGGCTTGGCCCTTCCGACTGATCGGTGGACCGGTGGGGTCTAGCGTCTCGACCTGTTACTATGGGATCTCGGGCGATACCATTTGTGTCCGTGGGAGGGAGAGAGGCTGAGACCGTTGAGGCTGTGGGGGCGACTCTGCCCGGAGACACCTCGCGGAGCCCACGCGCTGGCCTCTGTGGGCTCTGGGCCACTGTGTCGCTGACCACGACCTCCTCCCCGCCGTGTGGGTTCTAGGCCCTGGTTCTGAGCTTGTTCCGCACCCCTCCCCTGGGAATGGCGTTGTCCGGGTCGACCCCGGCCCCGAGCTGGGAGGAGGATGAGTGTTTGGATTACTACGGCATGCTGTCGCTTCACCGTATGTTCGAGGTAGTGGGCGGGCAGCTGACCGAGTGCGAACTGGAGCTCCTGGCCTTCCTGCTGGATGAGGCCCCCGGCGCCCCCGGTGGCCTGGCCCGCGCCCGCAGTGGCCTGGAGCTGCTTCTGGAGCTGGAACGCCGCGGGCAGTGCGACGAGAGCAACCTGCGGCTGCTGAGCCAACTCCTGCGCGTGCTAGCCCGTCACGACCTACTGCCACATCTGGCGCGCAAGCGGCGCCGGCCAGGTAGGGTTTGAATAGGTGATGGCAGAAAACCTTTCTCCCTCTGGGACCCTGTAGTGCCCTGATAAGGATTCCAGTGTCCCCTATTCCACAGCGAGAAACCCAAAAGTGAGAGGGCATGCCTTAGGTAGGAGTGAGCTTGTGGGATTCGGCCATATCAGTAGTGATTGCGGCCACTGTTTGTGGAACTTTTTATGCCAGGCAGAGGTAAACCTTTCACATGAACTGTCACGCGCCAGCCCTCACCCCCCACCCCACCCCCTCAGGGAAAACGACAGGTTCAGAGATCTTGCTGCATTTGAGACCACAGGGAAATAACAACCAAGATGTCAACTCCAAGAAACTTGCATTAGTTGGAGGAGTCAATTAATAGTAAGTAAGGAACTTAGCTTCAGATATGGTCCTAGACTGAGAAGGATAGAAGAGTACCCCAGAATGAGGGAGGTAACCTTATATTGAGAAATAACGAAGGAATTCTTTCCTAAGAAGATGGCATTTGAAATGGGGTGGGGGGGGCATGAAAATGTGTCACACATATAACATAGGTGGCAAGGATTCGAACCTGCCTGGCCTGTCTCCATGGTTGAGGCCCTTGATTTTTGGGTCAAAAGGGAGGAGATGGGAGGGGTCGGGATACCAGGAGCCTGTCTGTAGCTAGGCTGTTGGGCTCTTTCTTGAAAGATACAGTACAGAGGTTGGGAAGGGAGGGATTATGAGCGTTTCTGCCCCATAAATAAACCTGTGGGATTTGAGTAAGTGGATGAACACCTCTATGGATAGGCTATCTGATTTTGGAAAAATACTATCTTGAGTGTCACGCTCTAGAAGCAGAAAGGCCTACTTACATATCATGGGGCTCCTGAGTGAGCTGGAGATGGGGGCTATTGCAGGGACCCAGGCTACTGAAAAAGTCACCTCGGCAGCTGGGCTGTTGACATGGGTTGGGCTCTGAGCACTCTGTCCTGGGAGGCCAAGAACAACCTCTGGGTGGGAGGTGCTTGAGGAGGCGTGGGTATTTGGGTGTGACTTCTGAGTGACTGGGTCTGGCGTCCTGTGGTCCAGGCATTCTTCCCAGGATGCTGGGCTGGGAGGTAAGGATACTATGAAAGCTTCTTCCATTCTCTTTTCCCAGTATCCCCTGAGAGATACAGCTATGGCAATCCCAGCTCTTCTTCCAAGAGGACAGAGGACAGTTCCCGGCGTCGGCGACAGACTAGCAGTTCTCCCGATTCTCCTCAGAGTCGGTGGGACACAGGTGAGTCTATACTGTGACTAACCTTCTGCATCCTGGTCCGTCAAGGAAATGGCCTGAAGGGTTGCTGTGTTTTGCTGGTTGCCTGTGTTTATTATTGCTGTTGGAGGAAGAAGAAGCGTGTGTCCTGAAGCAACAGGGTTGTGTCACAGGAACTCACTCAGATAGCATCATGTTATGGCCCGTGACCTGGCAGTCGTGGCTGGATATATTGCCAAGGATTATTTTATGGTGAATGCCTTCAATTTGTTAAATTATTGTATTCTAGTCAAGGTATACACACACGCACATCCCTGATTTTTAATTATGTAAAACTTCAAACATCTAGAGAAGTTAAGAGGTAATACTGAGGGGTTGGAGAGATGGCTCAGTGGTTAAGGGCACTGGCTGCCCTTCCAGAGGTCAAGGGTTCAATTCCGAGCACCCACATGGCGGCTCACAACTGTCTGTTTATACTGTATGGGATCCAATTCCCTCTTCTGTTATGAAGACAGACATGTAGACAAAACACCCATATACACAATATAAATAAGTAAATCTTAAAAAGATAGTACAGAAAATATATTAAATCACTTGAATTCAGGGATGGCCAACATTCTGTGACTTGTGCTGTGTGTGTGTGTGTGTGTGTGTGTGTGTGTAATTCTGAGGTTTTAATTGAGCCCTTTGGTAGTAAATCACAGATATCATTAGACCTGCTCCTGAATTGGCCAGGATAATTTGAGAATAAGATTTCATCTATCCTTTGAAGACCATTATCACACCTAAGAAGACAGATATTAGTTCTCTGATCTCTTCATGGTCCACTCTCAGGCCTCTTAAGATCTGTGAGGTGTCAGAGTCTGTTTATATTGTTTGCTGTGTATGCAGTTTAAAAATAATAATTATTATTATTTTGAGGTGGTGTCACATTCTGTAGCCCATGCTGGCCTGGAACTCACTTTGTACCCCAGACTCTCTAACTAGAGCAATGGTTCTCAACCATGTGGATTGAGACCCCTTCTTAGGGGTGGCCTTAAGACCATGGGAAAACACAGACATTTACATTACAATGCCTAACAGCAGCAAAATTATAGTTACAAAGTAGCAATGGAAGTAATTTTATGGTTGGGATCACCACAGCAAGAGGAACCCTATTAAAGGACTTCAGCATTAGGAATGCTGAAAACCACTGACCTAGAGGTAATCCCCAACTTCCCCCTCTCCAGTGTCAGATTAGAGATATGAGCCCCTATGCCTAACCAGCTGTGCTCCCAGATCCTCAGCAGGGCAGTTTGAGGCAGGAGCTCTACAGTTGAGCTGCTCCACAGCCCCCCTTTTTTTCTCTCTCTCGAATTTAACAACAGAGTATCATCTGGTAACCCTGGCTGGCCTGGAACTTCTGAGATCCACCTGTCTCTGCCTCCCAAGTGCTGGAACTAAAGGCGTGCGCCACCCCACCCCTGCCCCTTTGTTCTCTGACTGGTGGGTGGAGTTCTTTCCAGCTTGTCTCTTCTCCCTTCCTTACTTCCAAGTATCACTGTGTAGCTACTTACTATTTACTTTGCAATAGTCAATTAGTCATTCTTACCAAGGTTTGGATTGCCTCCGCTCTGTCCTTTGGACATGTGGGCCTCACACTTTGCCTGCTTTGTGCTTTAAGATGTTCCAGGGTGTCCCGGACTCACCTTGCTCCGATCACCCCCAAAGTCATCTGCTGGTCAAGGAGTCTGGCTTCTGTTAGAGACCTCGATACGTAGATACCAAATATCTGACACCGGGTGTGTAAGATAACAGCTTCTCTTGGCTGGATGGGAAATCGGCTGCCTGCTTTTCAGAGAAAGTTCTTCTGAGCTGGGTTTGATGGCTCGGGCACTCAGGAGGTTGAGGTTGTTTTTGTTTGTTTGTTTGTTTTGTTTTGTTTTTTTTCGAGACAGGGTTTCTCTGTGTAGCCCGGGCTGTCCTGGAACTCACTCTGTAGACCAAGCTGGCCTCGAACTCAGAAATCCGCCTGCCTCTGCCTCCCAAGTGCTGGGATTAAAGGCGTGTGCTGCCACCGCCCGGCGAGGTTGAGGTTTTTAAGTCTGCTTTTTAAGTATATGTGTGTTTGGGTTTATACACTTAAGTGCTCATCCCCAGGGAATCCAGAAGAAGATGTCAGACCCCCACCCCCATTCCCCCCAAGAAGCTGAAGTTACTCATGGTTGGATCCACCTCAGGTGGGCATGAGTATGGTGGGCATACTGGGAACTGAACTTGGGTTCGCCCACAGCCCTGACTGTTCTCTGTTATACTGAGGATCTTGACCGTTGATTCTGAGATAGATTTCCTTCCTTGGTTTTACACAGTAATGAGGCAACACCAGGTTTTATCTGCAGAGGCTCATTCGTTCCCAGTGTATTCTTTCAGGGCTTGCAACAGAAGTGACATGTAAGGAGTGTTCTGATTTCCTCTCCTGTGCTGTTGCAAACTGTATTTTGTTACAGATTTTCTTCCAGTTTTTGTAAAAAAAATTCCAGCTCTGCTTTCCTGTAAAATCTTACTGCTGGGTGGTGTGTGTGTGTGTGTGTGTGTGTGTGTGTGTGTGTGTGTGTGAGAGAGAGAGAGAGAGAGAGAGAGAGAGAGAGAGAGAGAGAGAGAGGAGGGAGAGGGAGAGAGAATGTTGGAGATGGTTGATGTTGATGTCACACATGGAAATCAGAGGGGAACTTTGTGGATTGGATTCTCGGATTCTCTTTCTGTCTTTATGTGCTTCTAAGGATTGAACTCGAGTCACAGGTTTGAGCAGCAAGCCCCTTTACCCACTGAGCCAGTTCTACTTTTCTTTTTGATGTTACTTTGGTTCTAAGGCCAGGTTTTGTTATATAGTCCATACTGGCCTAGAAATCCTTGATTTTTCCTGACTCAGCCGTGTGTGTGTGTGTGTGTGTGTGTGTGTGTGTGTGTAAGAACCTTTGAAACAGGGTCTTACTAGGTAGCTCTGGCTTGTCTGAAGCTCACTTACCTTGAACTCACAGACGTCCACCTGCCTCTGCCTCAAATGCTGAGGTTAAAGATGTGCGCTGGCCACTGGAACGTATTTGTCCTTGTTCTCTGGGTAAATGCAGCCAAGTCCGCAGTCAACAAATGTTCTAAGGCAGTGGTTCTCAACCTTCCTCGTGCTTTTACCCTTTAGTACGGTTCCTGGAGTCGTAGTGACTCCCAGCCATAAAAGTGGCAACTTTCTAACTGTAATGTTGCATCTGTTATGGATTGTAATATGAAATCTGTGTTTTCAGGTGGTCTTAGGTGACCCCTGGAAAAGGGTGGTTTGGCATCTGATGGTTGAGAACCCCTGTTCTAAGGCACCTACCCTATTTCCTTCATTAGAATACTGGTGTTACCGATCATGTACACACTGAGTTCATTTGTGGTGTTTGATTTTATCCTTCCACTTCCCTTCGGTTTATGTTTTGAAGTGTATAAAGCAGTTACATGACCTGAAAGGCAAAACTGAAAGTGTTTTTGAACAGCCAGTTTCAGTTCTTTCTAATGTGTCCTTTCAGGGCCCCCAGCAGAAGTAACAAATGTCAGCAGAGTGCAGGTATCCTCTCTTAGGCAAAGTGTTGCAAAACTGGACACATTTGTCTCCAAGGCTCTTCTGTGTCTCTGTTCTAAGGCAAGGTTGCTGTGTAGAGCAGCCAGGCCTGCGATTGCTTCTCCCTCCCCTTAGCCTCCTGAGTGTAGAGAATGCAGGTGTGTGGGTCTCCGCCTGGCTCCTGCCTTGTGTGACTGGCTTCAATAGTTTACCATGGAAATTATTCCTCCTTGATAGACTGTTGCATTCTCATTTTGTTGATGTTTATCTTTTTTTAAAAAACAAAGTAAAACACAGGTTTGTGTGTACAGAGCTATGGTGCATCCCAGAGATCAAATGCAGGTCCTTAGGCCTGGTAGTAAGTACCTTTACCCACTGAGCCAGCGTGTGCGTGTGCGTGTGTATGAGAGAGAGAGAGAGATTGAACCATGTTATAATAAGATATCTACCACTGAGCTGTATCCTCTGCCTCTCTTTTGGGGTGGGTTGGGGATAAGGAGTTAAGGCAGGATCTCTTAGAGCTGATCTGGCCTTGAACTCCTGGTCTTCCTGCCTGTACCCCAAGTGCTGAGATTACAGGTGTGTGCCACCACCATACCCTGGTTGTGGTGATTCTAGATGACAGTTGTCAAGCCTGTCCCCTATTGTGAATGTGGTGGCATTCTCTGGGGTCAGACCTGCAAGGGGGGAACTATGTGGTGTTGTATGCACCCCTCTTTTATAAGGCCCCCTAAAGACTCACTGCACTAAGACCTCCTTCTCCCAAGCACCCCACCTTGGTATTTTCCCTTCCGGGTCCTGAGCTGCTGTTTCTTGGTCTTCTAGGCTCCCCACCAACCAAGCGGCAGCGTCGGAGTCGGGGCCGCCCTAGTGGTGCCCGGCAGCGGCGGAGAGCGGACCTGGCAGCCTTGCAGCAGCACCAGCAGCAACAGGAGCTGGGCAGGCCCTCCTCAGAAGGCAAGGTGACCTGTGGTAAGTACCTTGGGCCTTGAAAATGTTGTAAAGTATCCATGGTAGACCGTGGTGCTGGAAGATGAGCCACATCACATTCATCTGGGGTATGGCATGGTGGAGAGGTAAGCACTCGGTGCCATTTGATGGAGAATCAGATCTCACACACACACACACAAACACACACACACACACACACACACACACACACACACACGAGCCACTTGTGCAGCCTATAGTGTAGGGTGTGGTGGGAAGAGAAGCCAGGGCTCCAGTACAGTCTACCCAGTTAGGTCTTAGTCTTGGCTTTTGTTCTTTTTGTTTGTTTGTTTTTCAAGAAAGGGTCTCACTTTGTATTCCTGGCTGTCATGGAATTCACTCTGGAGAAGAGCAGGCTGGCCTTGAATTTACAGAGTTCTACCTGCCTTTGCCTCCAAAGCACAGGGATTTAAAGGAAAGCATCTCTCTGTCTCTCTTTGTCTTTCTCTGTCTCTCTCCATCTCTCTCTCTCTCTCTCTCTCTCTCTCTCTCACCTTCAGCTTTGGCATTTAAGGAAACTGGCCTCAGGCAGGGGTTGGGGGTGGGGCTTATGTTCTCTTGTCTGTACAGTAAGATGGTCCAGCCTAGAGCTGTCAGAAGAGACAGTCAACCACATAATCCGCTTGGAGCACTGCCTGGCCGGGACACGTGCCGAGCGAGGCCTGTAGCAGGGAAGCCTTGTCTCTGTAGAGCTGACCTTGCAGTTGGGTGACAATCCATTGGAGCTGAGATTGCTGAGACCATAATGGGCGCTGCCAAGGGCTGGTGGGGAAGCCAGCCAGACCGTGGCTGGAGGCTGAGCAGCTACACATGGCCGGAGTGGTGTGGGTTTCTGTCCATGCTTCTAGTTTGCC